TTGCTGCTCCCAAGACATCCTTTGGCCTCTCAGGATTTAATCGTATTCTCTATAAAGTAGGGGGCTTGTGTTCCTTGTGGCTTCTCTGGGGATGAAAACATTGCTGCAGTCACACCCGAAAACATGGAACCTACACCTCAACTACATGTAGAGTCTTATGTCATGGCTCTGCCTCTGGGTCAACCCACCACCCCAGCATGATTTATGTAATGCTGTTAGATCTTTCATCAAATACACAAATGCCCTAAGACCTTTTCTGTGCCTTGTCTGCAAAATGAGTGCTGACAAAAATGAATGATGCTCAGAACAGAGGCCAGTCCCTGGAAAGTCAGAGAGACTGGTCAGAGTGTGATAGTAACAGGTACTTCAGTTTCTTAGTGGCGCTCTCTGTCCTGGAAGGTGGATGTTTAACTGCTGTCCCTGCTTAAAGGGTGATGAATCACTGGCCCAGAGAGGGGTAACTCAGTGAAGTCCCAGGGCCAATCAGTCCCAGGGTCTTGGGTACTTGGTGTTTACTTCCAAAGACTCTTGTGAGGACACTCTGGAAAAAGCAAGCTGTAGACCACAGTGAGACACAGCAAGCTATCTAAAACCTTTCACAGGCTTGGGACTGTAGGGCCTCCAGCCAGTCTGCCAGGTCAGCTCCACCCAGAGTCGACACATGTGACAGGACACTGCCATGAGGCCTATGTGCCCAATTGGTGTGTCTGGCCACCCTAACAGTAACCAGCTGGTGGGAGGATGGGGATCAGACTTGTATGACTCCCGGGAGTTCCTGTCTTCCTGGCCACACCTTTGCAGCCAGCAAAGAACAGTTGGGATTTCCAGCCCTTTGCCTCTGCTATAAAAAAAGTATGTCAATATTTACCTCTTAAAAGGACGGAGAGGTCCCGGGTCTATTCAGGGCTGCTCTGACAGCTTGTCCATGCGATCTCTTTTAATCTCTACTTGCACAGGACCCCAGCTCAGGTTAGGGGTAGGATTTGATCCTATCATCAGCAATCCTCAGTTCCTAGCCTTTGGGTTCACAAACCCTGGATGGCATCTGGCTGTACATTTTATTTATTTATTTATTTATTTTTGGTTTTTCGAGACAGGGTTTCTCTGTGGCTTTGGAGGCTGTCCTGGAACTCGCTTGGTAGTCCAGGCTGGTCTGGAACTCACAGAGATCCGCCTGCCTCTGCCTCCCGAGTGCTGGGATTAAAGGCGTGCGCCACCAACGCCTGGCCTGGCTGTACATTTTATGTGTTGTCTTGTTGGAAAGATTACAGGAGAATGTATTGCTGGACCACACAAAAGGGAGAGGAAAGACACACAAAAACTAAGAGTGCCTTTGAACACCAGCCCTGAGGTTCTCACTGCCTGGGTGACAGCTGCCCATGCATGAAGATCTGTGTACAGTGGTCAGGTCCAACTTTATACCCTATGGGGGCCTTAGTATCCTTTGTACCAAATAGAGGGCATGATATAGGAAGTTGCAATCTCTAGGTAGCCTGTCTCCATCCAGCCACACTGAGGTGGAGGCAGGTGGCCAGTGGCCCAAAGGATGAAACTTTACTCATGTAATTGGTTCTGGCTTCTAATGTTACTCCCATTGTTGTTGATCCTGTGGCTGGACACTTAGGGGATGACAGTGCTTTTTGCTGCAGAAATTGACTGACTGCACAGATTGCTTTGCACTGAGACAGTGGCTGCGTTGAGTTTTTACTTGGGTCCATATTGTCAGAAGGTGCCTCACTGAGAGGTAAACTAGTTACCCTCTCCATCCCCATCTGGACCAGGGCTCCCTCTCTTACATGTTTCACCAGCCACACAGAGGCAGCACCATGTCTGTATCTCCTACATACTCAGAAAACGGAGTGACTGATGACCTGATGAACACCCACAGAGCCTGGTCCATCTATATGAAGGGAAGGGCAGGCATGACTGGAAAGAGTCCAATTCCAGCACCCCCCTCCAAGGGGTGTAGTCTTATAATAGCCCTGCCAGTTGTATGCCTAGAATATTTTGCAACTTCAGAACATGAAACATGGAACAGTTAAGTGCCCAAGGTTACTCAGGTATGTGTGCAGGAGCTGGGATTTGAACTCTCAGCTATTCACTGTCACGGCTTCATCGTGAAAGGTGTGGAGTGATTACATCTCTCACTCAACCCTAAGTCCCATGAGCTTTCCAGGTACCTTGGCTGCTCTATCTTTGGAGCCCCTCAGGAGTAAATTCAGCAGTCTGCCATTCTCTACCATTTATGAGGAGTTCTCCCACAAATTTCCAAAGTGAAGCAGCTGTGGGCCAGGCCAAGTTAGCTCTGTGCAGCTGTAAGAGGGCCCTCCCCAGTAGTGATGGTCTGATAGCCAGGGAGAGAGCTCTGGAAAGGTTGGCTGCAGTCAGAGGCAAGGTCCAAGTGAGCGTGGGCCTGGGTATAGAACCAGCACACAAGGCTGAGCTCAAGTACTAGTGTTCACTGTGAGATGAGCAGTGCTCAAAACAGTTGGTGCTGGACTCAACTGCCCAGGCTTTGTGTTTTCTCTTAAGTCCCATCCCATTTTATAGCTGTTTAGAGAGGGTAATCAACCAACTTCCCATTTAGACCCAGGAAGGTCCCCATGAAGTTTCTCCAGGCTGCCCCCAGAACAGAGGATGCCAGCTCACGCTGAGGCTGGTTGTATCAGGGCAGCCACCAGCATTGTACAACTGAAGTTCTCCTTTTCCTGTAGTGAGAGCAGTTGCAAGCCCAGTGACTTCCCTACCTTGAGAACCTGTTAGATCAAAATCAGAGCATTAGTCTAGTGTTGGGGCAGAGTAGCACTGCACAGGAACATCCAGCCCTAAATGAATTTGTAATTTATCACAACAGTCATGCATATTTGGAGGAGTGTGCTCTGGGTGACATTCATAGTCTTCAGGTGAATCTGCAGAATTCAGTCTCATGCCAAGTAGCCCTGATAGAGTGTGCTGGTCATGTGACACTTCTCTCCAGTGCCTGTTGTTGGTCATTGTCATCCCTCCCCCAGCCAGAAGCCCAGCTTAGAACCCTGCAGGGGTGGGGGTGATGGACCAGTAAAGTCTAGAACAGCCCTTTCTATTCCTTGGTGCCATTTCCACTTCTGGAAATGAGAAGTAACATTACACCTTGGGAAGGATAATTGAGAGTGGAAGTAAAACCTCTGGTGGCATCAAGAGGTGTCTTCAAACAACATCTGCCTCTGCTGAAGAGCAGGGTTCAACAGTGAGATGGGAAGAACTTCCCAAAACTGATGTAGGGCAGAGCCCAGTGTGTACCATCTCCCCCCCCCCCCCAGGACCTTGTTTCTGCTTAGGTACCAGTCCTCTTCTCCCTCCTAACCCTGCCTGGCTTCCAGATCCTTCCTAGCTAAAGCCCTGGCCTGAGTATGTCACAGCCACCCTTGGTATCAACCTCTTATCTACATGCTACTACTGACCCTTGGGCTGTACTCAAGGATGAACCCAGCCAAAACCTGGCCCCTTGAGGCTGTTTTTTTTTTTTTTTTTTTTTTGGTTTTTTTTTTCCTCATCTAGCCAAGTCAAGCCTCAGGAGAACAGTCTCCAGTGCCCAAATAGGCTATGTTCTTTCTGCTGCTAAACCAGTGGTTCTCAGCCTTCCTAATGCTGTGACCTTTTAATACAGTTCATGCTGTGGTGACCCCAACCATAAAGTTATTTTCGTTGCTATTTTGTAACTGTAATTTTGTAACTTGTGAATCGTAAGTGGTCTTAGGCGACCCACATGTTGAGAACCGCTGTGCTAAACCCATGGTTTCTGTGCATTGGATGGCCACCACTTCCTCCACTTTACCTGCTCACTGCCGAGCTAATTGCCTTCTCCTTAAAGAGGGAGGGTTCCTAACACCCCAAATCATGAGACTTGTGGATTGGACGAGGAACAGTCTGGAAACGCCAGGGTACTTGAGGGGCCCAGTCAAATGCTGGTCCTGGCTCAGGCTGGCCATCTGATGCTCAGCTCTTCTAAAGAGCAAAATGAGGTTTAGGTGGGTGACCTTTGGGGGAGAAGGGCAACCACAACGGACACGAACTTCCTGCGACCTCATTCTGAGGGAGGAAAGGTCTGAAGGAGGGGAGCCAAGCTGAGGTTCTCCCTGGGGCGAGCCTAGGCAGACCAACAAGAGAGAGGAAAGGGATCGCCAGAGCTTCCTGTGTGCTCGTGGCATTTCCCCTGGCTCGGGAAGGGGCTTGCTGTGAAGTTTCCGGCAAGACCAGCCTACTGCTGTCCAAATGGCTTATTTGTCTAGTGGCCTAGGGAAGGGGACTGGCGGTGGGGTGGCAGCGCCCCGCTTGGCGCCGCTGCTGCCTGAGGGTCCGTGGAGTTCTAGCTTCTGCGAACTAGAGGATGTTGAGACCAGGCCGAGAACCCCAGGGGCCTCGGTGCTCGGACCGGCTATTTCGGGCTGGCGGGGAGCTGGAGCCGCCTCGCACCGCCACTCCACGCAGGGTGGGAGGGAGCGAGGGAGGCGAGGGGACGAGCGCCGGCTCCCCGCCCCCATCCCACCCGGTTCGGATATTTAGCTGAAAGGCACGCGGCTCCTAATCGGCCCTTTCCAGGCTGAGGTGTAGCGGCGCTTGCCCGCGCAAGGGCGGGGGCCGGGCCGGGGGAGGCGCGGAGTCCGGAGCCTGCGAGCGAGGTGAGAAGCCCGCGTCCTCGGCTGCAGGAGCGGGCGGGCGGGCGGGCGCGCACCGCCGAGGCAGATATAGAAAGGGGGGCAGGTTAAAAATAACCCTCTTCGGCTGGGAAGCTCGCGCTCACTCTCTCGCCTCGTTCGGTGCCAGAGGACTCCAGGGGAGGTGGCGTTGGGGAGGGCAGCGCGGGATTCCCCTCCTCCGCCGCCGGGCGGGGTGCCGCCTGCACGCCACGACTGCACGTGTGCGGGGCCGCGCGCCCCGGGCCCCTCGGCCCGGCCGGCGGCGCTCTCCCCAGCCTCGAGCTTCTGGCTACCGCCCCCGCCCCCGCCCGCACCCAGCGCGGCTGTAGGAAGCGCTTCTTTATTCATTATTTACGAACATTAATAGGTTTGGGGCGCGCGTGCTGGGGGAGGAGGAGAGGACACCGCGGGGACCCCAGTATTCAAGGAAGGGTGCGGACCTGCAAGAAGGTCTGCTGGACGGGGGGAAGGGGGTTCTCGGACGCTGTCCTCCGGGCGCGCACTTAGCCGAGCGGAGTGCGGGGGCTGCAGGCCCCTCGCACCGCCCTGCACGGCCCTTGCCGCCGCATCCCTGACGCAGCCCTGGCCTCATTTATCATCATCTTTGGTCAAGTGGAGTGTGCAAGGAACAGCTGCTTCACTCGGCTGACTTCCGAGGGCGGCTACAGCGGGAATCAGGAAAATGAATGATGGAGGCTGGGGCCGCCCCCAGGCTCGGGTGCAGGCGGGAGGGAGGCGGGGAGCATCTTGGCTGCTTCTGCCTCATGGCAAGCGCAGCGCCCCCTTCCTCTCCGGGCGCCCACAGTCCCTGCGGATCGTTGACTGAGGACGGGCGGGTGTGCCGGAGGTCGCCGTGACCTTGCTGGGGTCAGTGGGTTGGGCTGCGCAGGAGGCGTCGCAGCGTCTTTGGTGGCCCTACCCGGATTGGCGGAAGGTCGGGGAGACGAGGAGGAGGAGGGGAGTACCAATGGAAGGTGAAATTTTACCTGCCCCAGAGGGAGTCCTGCGGATTTTCTCCCGGCGACTGCCGTGCTCTGCCTTTGTCTTACATGGCCGAAACATCTGTAGCAGTGGCGGAGAGGCCGCAGACCCCACCCTCCGCGCGGCTCCCCGTCCAGCTCCCCGCTGCAGCCCGCACCTCAGTGTGGGGTCCTCGCCTGATCCCTACCCCGCCTGGTGTCGATGGGGCGGGGGCTGGTTGCAGAAAGGGTTAATGGCCTAGTCGCAGACCCTAATTGTCAGAGCTAGGCCCCGCTTCGTTCCAATTACCCTAAGTAGAGACTGAATGCGCAATTAACGGAGTCAGCTTGCCAACTGGAAAGCTGTCCCCGCTTTCATATTGAGCGGAATACTCCACCAGCTGACTTGGACGAAGCAATTTCCTCCGCTCTCCCCTTTCTCTCTCCTCCAGCCCCTTCTCTTTTTCTCTCTCCTTAATAATAAAATTATACCAAGCAGTTTGCGGTGTGGCAGGCGGCCAGAAAGCGTTTCTTTAAACGCCGCCGTCTCACAATTAGGCAGCAAGAGGATTTGACACGCCGAGGCAGCCTGACAGGCGGCTTCCTCCCCTGGGGCCGATGCAGGAGGGGGCTCCGGTACCCGGCTCCCCCATATGGAACCGGCACTGGGAGGGGGCCAGGGCTACACCTCCCGTGCTGTCAGCATGCTGCAGTGAGAAGCCCTTGGGGCAGGCAGCAGGGGAGGTTCCAGCCAGACTCCAGGATGCAGCAAGATCTCTCCCTGCTGGGGTATAGAGAAGGAAAGCCATGTTTTCTGTTTCTGTTTGACCGAGGCATCTGGGGCACACAACTGCTAAGCCTGGTGGACAAGTCACTGACCCTGTCTGGGCTTCCATTGATCTCTGCGAGTTTGGAATTGGAATGTTAAGGAAGAATGTGCCCTATTCCTGGGGATTGGTTGCTTTCCCATGCTGATACTTGTCTTCCAAAGATGTTAGAGACAGCACAGTATGTAATGAGCCAGCGGCCCCTCTGCTGCTGATACTGCTGGGAGAACAGACCTAGAATCGCCATGGTCACATAAGAGCAGCTGCCATGAAAGCACCAGGGACCAGTACCCTGGAAACAGGGCAGGCACATTGACCACTGGCTATAAGCAGCTGAGCTCAGAGCTGGACCAAGGTATGCAGTAACTTCTGTAGGAGGTGCTTGCTACTGGAAGCCACCTTGCTGTTTGCTGCCTGCCAGCTTCATTCAGGAGGGAAGCCACTTCCTCCACCTTTTTTCCATCCCCTTCCTGCCCCTGGGCGGCCTTCAGTAGCACCTTGGCAGCTGTCTGTGCCTTAGGCTACAGAAGCTCTCTGTGCACATTCCCCTGGAACCTCTGCACTCTGGTCACTCCCACCTGGACTTTTGCTGATCCAAAATGGGCTCCCAGCGCCAGTGGGCACCAACACTGAAGGCTGCAGAGGAGAGAATGGAAACTTCACTGCTGTTCCTTACTAGTTAGCTACTGTTTATGTCCTGCCTTCCCCCACCACCCACTCCTGAAACTGCTCTTTGGGCTTCAGCCCCTGAGGCTGAAGACTACTAAATAATATGATAAACACAAAGCCATGAGTGTCCCTGTATCCCCCTTAGTTGCAATATTTATAGGGGCAACTCTGGGGCCAGAGTAAGGCTTTGGTGCTTAAGAGCAAAATGCAGAAAGCCCCTACCTTCAGGCTCTTATCCTTTGGAGGCAGCTCATTGTACCATTAATTATGTAATTACTGCTGTCATGAGCCCCACATGGGAGCCTGGCAGGGGTCCCAGGAGGGGGGAGGGGCAGGGCCTCACCTGTCTCCTGTGGAATGTTACCAGGGCCACTCTACACCACTTCTGCAGGCTGTGTGCAGGGCTTCAGTCTGCCTCTAGCTCCTTAAGTCCCTGCTGCACCCTGGTCACCCGCCTTTGTTGGCCTGGGCCATGCTGCTCCTGAGACCGGCTCTGGAGCCAAAAAATATTCTGGGTGCTCCTTGTGTTGAATACCCAAGTCCCCAGCCCAACAAGGCATGGGCTAAATTGCACAGGTGTCAGCTTCATCAGTATTTGACACCTGGGGCAATGATGAAGTGAAAGCCTACAGACAGTCTTCTTGAACTCTGCACTGCTTATATAACAATAAAAACCCTTGAGACTTGGTTGATAGCTTTTTTTATTTTTGCTATGTGTGTGTGTGTGTGTGTGTGAGTGTAAAAGAACAACTTTTTGAAGCTGGTTCTATAGTGGGGTCCAGGGATTGAACTCAGTTTCTAAGTCATCTAGCCAGTCCTGGTAACTTTTGAAAATGAAAGACATTCCTGACTTGTGACCTGTTACAGGAAGAAACACACACACACACACACACGCACGCACGCACGCACGCACGCTTGGAACTGAGATGTATAGCCTATCTCCAACCCCCCTACCTAATACTTTGCTCTACAGTGGATTCTCTGTCCTTCCTTAAGAAAAGGTCTGTGTAGCCGTGCGTTAGTAGTGCACACCTTTAACAGTAGCACCTGGGAGGCAGAGGCAGGTGGATCTCAGTGAGTTTGGGGCCAGCCTCCAATGCTTCAGAAAAACAAAAAAGGAAAAAGAAAGAAGGAAAGAAAAAGCCAGGCGTTGGTGGCGCATGCCTTTAATCCCAGCACTCGGGAGGCAGAGGCAGTCGGATCTCTGTGAGTTCAAGGCCATCCTGGTCTACAAAGAGAGTTCTAGGAAAGCCTCCAAAACAATACAGAGAAACCCTGCCTCGAAAAACCAAAAAAAAAAAAAAAAAAGGAAAGAAAAAGAAAGGGTCTATGTTTAATGAGTGAAGCAGAGCTGTGGTCCTAGCCTGTGCCTCTCAGTCCCTACCCAAACTGGCCGTTTACTCAGAATTGTTTTCACAGGATTAATGTGACATTTGAAGCTTGATTCATTTAATACATATTTATTGTTTTGGGCAGTGGGGACATGGTTATGAATAAAATAGGCAAAATTCCCTGCTCCTATGGAACTTTTCATTCGGGAGGAGACTAGTAGTAAGTTAAGGCTTTGGTAAGTGCTTTGACGAAATGGAAAGCACAAGGGGCATCGTTGGAACATGGTGATGACCCAGAAGCAGAGGTGTGGAGCTGGGTGAAGAGTTGTATGGGTGTCTGGGATGGCTTTCCTAGCAGAGGGGACAACCAGCACAAAGGCCTTGAAGCCCATGGAGGTGGAAGGCTTGCCCAGGATCAGAGCCCTGTTGGCATCTAGCCATCCTGCTACTAGCTTGGCACGTTTTGCTGTTGCTTCCGTGAGTGAGTTACGTCATGTTTCTTCAGGGCACGTGAAGTGGAGAGGACAAGGCTGTACTGATCAGTTTCAGCCTTCTGTAAGGAAGGGTACTACTAGGGCCTGGAATGTGGATACTGGATGGAAAAGTGCTACCTCTAGCCAGACCCATGAAGGGCTGGTCTTTGGATCCTGATTGTGGGTGGTATCTGAGATCAGGCTAGCCTGAGCAGGACATGATGGGAAAGGCCCTACCCTCTTCATAGTGGGCACTCATGCCTTTTTTTTTTTACTCCTTTTTTAGACAGATGGGTGGAGATGCCTTTTGTTGAGTGATGAATAGAGTGACTTAAAGCAAAGAGTACCCACAAGAGACTGATGAAGAAGCAGTAGCAGCTGAGGTGGCTACAGACGGGACAGCCCTGATGGTGGGCACAGGGCCAGGTGGATTATGGGCCCTGCTCCTGAGGGCATCCAGCCTGTGACCCATTGCATCCTAGAAAGAGACACTGCAGGGCTGTGTCTAAGAACTGGTACAGGGCCAATGGGCATGGTATTAGAACCCACTCCAGTGCTTAAGCATACCGGGGAAGATGAGTTGGAAGGACCTTTTCAAACATCCTCCAGAGAACTCAGATTCTGCCTCTTAGGAAATCCCCAGTATCTTTTGATGCCATTTTTTTTTTTAACGTTAGTTTTACTGTGTTACTCATGCTGACCTGTTACGGTGCTGGTAATTGAGCTTAAGACCTCATGAATGCTCAACAAATATACCACCAAGCTCTACCCCTAACCTGCTTTACTGATTTGAGCTTTTGATCTGATCTCTTGCTTCATATCCCAGATGCTGGGATCACAGGTTTATGCCACTATACCCTGCTAATTTTCCATTGGTGATGGAGATGCTGACTGCATGCTAGGCTAGCAAGCCTTCTATACCTGAACTACACCCCTGTCCGTCTTCTACTGCCTACTTCTCCGCCTGCCTCTGGCTACTCAGGGCCCCACACCCTTTCTGTAAAGGGCACACCAACCCTAAATAAATAAAGGGGTTGCCAGCATGGGATGGTCTTGGGGTAGAGCTGCCTTACCACCACTACCACCCCTGCCCTAAGCAGGTCCATCAGTCCCTTCTGATACTAGCCCCTCACCCAGGGAGTCTAGCCTAGTCTCAAGGCCTGTGGTGTCTGACTGCCCTTGTGTGTTCCATGGAGATTCATCCCTGCGCCCCTGGCAAGTCAGGCCATAAAGATTGCAAAGGCCTCCAAAACAGCTGGGAATGACTGGTTCGGGGCTCACCCAGGGCACATATTTATTATTATTTTGTGTGTATGTGCATGGGTGAGGACACCCTTGTGGAAACATGTGGAAGAGGACGTCCGGTGCCTTCCTCTATTGCTTTTCATCTTATTTTCCTAAGACAGTCTCACTAGCCTGGCTACCTAGCCAGCAAGACCAAACTATGCCTGTTTCCGGCCTCTTCTCCCCCACCCCACTTGCTACTGAGGTTGCAGGCCCATGCAGCTATGCCCAGCTTTTTGCATGGGTGCTGGAGTCCTAAACTCGGGTCCTCATGCTTGCATAGCAAGCTCTCCTGCCCACTGAGCCATCTCCCAGCTGTAACAGATAGAAGGCCCTAAGGGGTCTCACTTATCCATTGCTCCCTGAACATCTTCTGTCCCTTCCCTACTCCCTCTCTGGGTTCTTGGGCCTTGAGTGGGTTAGGCTTTCCATTTTCCCTGTAGCTATCAATCAGGTCATAAAACAACTATAGGTAGGTGGGAGGGTCAGTGGCTGGGGGCTGCCAGTGAAGTGGGAACATATCTCTTCATCCCTCTCTCCACCTTTCCTCTTTTCCTCAAGATAACATTCCTACACGGCTGACTAGGAGCAATAGCAGCTCTGGCCCACAGTATTATACCCATCTCAAGGATGGGGGCCAACCCTGGGGCCTGAAGAGGCTCTGGACTAATGGTTAGTCACTGGAGGCTGCAAATATAATGGGTAGGTTTGCCTGCTGGGAGTTAGGGTACAGCTCACTGGTAGACTTCGCTTAACAAGCTAAAGGTCCTGATTTGTCCCTAGCACCACAGAAATACAGAGTCAGGCTTGCAGGCAGGGTCTGGGTGGGAATTTCTGGTGTGTCCAAGAGAGGAGTTTGATCAAGTCTTTAGCCCCTCTGAACCTCACCTTTAGTTATAAAAGGAACAAGATAAAGCACCGAGGTGCTCTGTGGCCAGGTCCCCATTCTAGAGTCTTTGGGAGAAGGGCTCAACCTCCCCATGCCTTCAACACAGTTGTTTCAAGGGCTTGTGTCTGTGTCTGCTGCTCTGTCAAAGGAAGTTATCCAGACTGCAAGCACCGTCCAGTTCCACAAAGACCTTGAGATCTGGCCTCATTGGACCTGGTGCCCTCTTCCGTCCAGTCAGTGTCTGGAGTAACCACTGGTTACAAGGTTAGAGTATTCATGTCCTTGGGGCCAAAGAGGGTTGCTCTGGATTCCCATCAGCTGCCTGCCAGATTCTGCCAGGGTGGCTGAGGGGAAGTCTTGGCAGGTTCCCAGGAAAGGGGGGAGGGGAAGAAGCTGGGGCAAGATTCCCTTTCCCAGCCTTTACTGCTGTTAGTCCAGCCACCTTCGCTGCTGCTTCCCTCCATGTTGAAAGGTCACCATTACCTGTGGGGGAATTCATTCTTCCATCTGCTCTCTGATGCTGCCCACCCCACCCCACCCTTTTGCTATCTGCCTCTCGTCCCTTCCATGTCCTTTCTTAGTGCTCTTGAAAAATAATCATAACCACAATAATTAATAACAACAGAGCCCACTGCAAGCCTGAGGTGGCTCTTAAAGAGGCAGCACCCCATTTTCTCCTGGCAGAGCCAGTAGGACCTCTGCAGCTCCAAGCTGGCAGCTCGGATGCCACCGCGCCTGAGCCTTTGTTTCTGTCCCTCCCTCTGCAGGGTTGGAGGGTGGTGCTGGGGCACATGTTTCTGCCTGTGTCCTCCAACAGGCACGGGGCCTCTGGGATTTTAATTGAACTGTCTTTTCTTAGAGATAGATGCCTTCCACATCCAGCTGCCTATGTGCATCAGAAAGGCAGCCTGTAATCCTGGGTGGGGAAATTAAGAGGCGCAGCAGCTGGACTGATCAGATGGGGCAGGATTGGGGGGGGCACTGTTCACGGCTCCCCTCTTTTTAGATAATGTCTCTGGTAATGCATTTTGGGAATGTGGCGGTGGGACTGGGTGGAGAGACACACACAACTCCAGCCATAGAAATGTTAATGATATCTACAGGACACTCAGCAGGAAATGAGAGTGATCTGGGACTAATAAAAACCGAAATGTAATTTGTGCAGATATATGAGGGAGGCAGATGTAGCCTTCAGAGCAGTCTGGGTTTGTATGTATAAACACACAGCCAGGGAAGACAGGAACTGGCATTTTGTGTCCTGGTCTTAGAAGTGGCCCACCAGCAGTCCCGAGTGTGCTCTGCTCTAGGAAGGTAGGGACAGGAGGCCCCAGGCCGTCCACCTGAATAGATGCTGCCTCCAGCCCCTCTGGATTAGCACAGCTTGGGGTATTTCATGTAAACCACGAGGACTGGACTAGATCCAAAGGGTAGGTGGGCACTGTCCTAGTGAGGGTAGAGATAGGAGTAATGAGCTGTGGGTGGGGCGGGCAGGAGGCTTTAACAACCTGGGGAGGAGGGAAGTTGCTTTAGGGGCAGCTGGGTCGGGCCTACTGCTGTGAGCTCTGGGGTTATCTGGATGCCTGGGCATGCCCTGACCCCCAGACAGAGTTCTTTTGCTCCCTTCCCTGGGTCAATTCTAAGACAAAGGAAGGAAGGCACCTTTGTGGGATCCAGACCAAAGGGAGGCTGGGCCGCCCTGCCAGTGCAACCTCTCCATTCCTACCCCTCACACCTTTGTGTTTCTGTGAGGCACCTACCTCTCCACCCCCACATTTTCTTCTCAACAAACAAACAAACAAACAAAACCCCTGAAACCTTTGTGGTCTGAGGTAGGCCACACCTCCATCTTAGTATGTTTTGGAATAAGAACTGGAAAGTCCCAATTCCCTCCTGGGGGCTAGAGCTGCTTAGCCCTGGAGAACCTGTACCTCCTGCCTTCAGCCTGTGTGGTGGCTGACTAAACCCTGACATGTGGAGCACAGGCTCAATAGCTAGCCTCTGTGATTTCTTCAAAGCTTGGGGGCATTCCTCTCTTCTACCACTGAGGGTTTCTGGGGTAACCAAACCAATCAGTTGAAGGAAACTAGCCAAGGTGCACAGGCCTGTGTTAAGACTCTGTCCACAAAAGCCCCTGCCCTCCTGGTAGATCAGACACTGCCTGCCCTTGTCCCCCAGATCAGGAGCAGCTCAGCAGGAAGGGACAGAGAAGAGGCAGGGTAGTATGGTCTCTGGTGGCCAGCAGACTGCATCTTTGTCCCCTATTAGTATGCATCCCCACATTCTGGACTACATAATCTGTTCATACACCTATGATACCCAACAACAGGAGGCAGGTGCTACCATCCTTCATTCCCAGCAGTCAGGGGAGGGGGTTCTTTATGTGGACAGTTGGCTTAGCAACCCCCAGTCAACATCTGCCAGAAGGGACAGAGTCCAGATGGCTCTGCAGGGGAGGTGTGTGTGAGTGTGCATGTACATGTGTGGATTCCTGTATGTGCAGTCACAGCAGGTCTGCCGAACAGCCTCTCCCTGACTGGGGAGGGGTCTTCCTGTGTGCCTAGTGTGGCTGGGTCACGCTTAAGTAGGGCTACTCAAAGACTAAGATTATGGGATCCGGTAGGCCCAGGGCACAGAGTGGAATTGCTCTGCTAATCTGAACTGTCTGCGAGGGCTGGGCGTGGTGCTACAGACAAGCAGATAGAGGGAGGAGCTGGCAAGAGGGTCCTAGGGCAGCCATTCCTGTGGCTTGCTCTGTGCAGTCTGTCTTGGGCTGTCCATGTCAGTGGCAGTTCTCCTCAGCACGGCTCAGCTGCAGGCACTGTGGAAGCAGGATTTCAGAGCACACCTCACAGACCCAGAGGTTGTCAATATGTGCACAGCTGGTGAGAAGGTGGCTGGGAGGGTGCTGGCGGAGGCGGAGAGTGGAGCATGGCCCGTCTGAATTGTTTTCCTCTGCACCACCCCTCTCTTCACAGATAGCCGGCCCGCGTCATGCAGTCTTTTCGAGAAAGGTGTGGTTTCCATGGCAAACAGCAAAACTACCCACAAACCTCACAGGAGACATCGCGCCTGGAGAACTACAGGCAGCCAGGTCAGGCTGGGCTCAGCTGTGATCGGCAGCGGCTGCTGGCCAAGGACTATTACAACCCACAGCCCTATACAGGCTATGAGGGTGGCGCTGGCACACCTTCTGGCACGGTGGCCACGACAGCTGCAGACAAGTACCACCGAGGCAGCAAGTCCCTGCAGGGGAGGCCGACTTTCCCCAGCTATGTTCAAGACAGCAACCCCTACCCAGGGCGCTACTCTGGCGAGGAGGGTCTTCAGACCTGGGGGGGTCCACAGCCACCACCTCCCCAGCCACAGCCTTTGCCAGGAGCAGTGAGCAAGTATGAGGAGAACTTGATGAAGAAGACGGTGGTGCCCCCAAACAGGCAGTACTCTGAGCAGGGCCCCCAACTTCCCTTCCGGACTCACAGCCTGCATGCCCCACCACCACAGCCTCAGCAGCCCCTGGCTTACCCCAAACTCCAAAGGCAGAAACCGCAGAACGACCTTGCCTCCCCTCTGCCCTTTCCCCAGAGCAGCCACTTTCCCCAGCATTCCCAGTCCTTCCCTACCTCCTCCACCTACGCCCCGGCAGTGCAGGGTGGTGGGCAGGGGGCACACTCATACAAGAGTTGCACAGCACCATCTGCCCAGCCTCATGACAGGCCAATGAGTGCCAATGCCAGCCTGGCCCCGGGGCAGCGGGTCCAGAATCTCCACGCTTACCAATCAGGCCGCCTTGGCTATGAGCAGCAGCCGCAAGCACTTCAAGGCCGGCACCACACCCAGGAAACTCTCCACTACCAGAACCTCGCCAAGTACCAACACTATGGACAGCAGGGCCAGGGCTACTGTCCACCAGACACAGCTGTCAGGACTCCAGAACAGTATTACCAGACCTTCAGCCCTAGTTCCAGCCATTCCCCTGCACGTTCTGTGGGTCGCTCCCCTTCCTATAGCTCCACCCCATCACCACTGATGCCCAATCTGGAGAACTTCCCCTATAGCCAGCAGCCGCTTAGTACTGGAGCCTTCCCCGCCGGCATCACAGACCACAGCCACTTTATGCCCCTGCTCAATCCATCCCCAACAGATGCTGCCAGTTCTGTGGACCCCCAGGTCAGCAACTGCAAGCCCCTGCAAAAGGAGAAGCTCCCCGACAACTTGCTGTCGGACCTCAGCTTACAGAGCCTCACAGCACTTACCTCACAGGTAGAAAACATCTCCAACACTGTGCAGCAGCTTTTGCTGTCCAAAGCTGCCATGCCACAGAAGAAAGGGGTCAAGAGCCTCGTGTCTAGGACTCCGGAGCAGCACAAGAGCCAGCACTGTAGCCCCGAGGGCAGTGGCTACTCAGCTGAGCCAGCAGGCACACCACTGTCTGAGCCGCCAAGCAGCACACCCCAGTCCACTCACGCTGAGCCACAGGACACTGACTACCTGAGTGGCTCCGAGGACCCACTCGAGCGCAGCTTCCTCTACTGCAGCCAGGCCCGCGGCAGTCCTGCCAGGGTCAACAACAACTCCAAGGCCAAGCCTGAATCTGTGTCCACCTGTTCTGTGACCTCACCTGACGACATGTCCACCAAGTCTGACGACTCTTTCCAGAGCCTGCACAGTACCCTGCCACTGGATAGCTTCTCCAAATTTGTGGCCGGCGAGCGAGACTGTCCACGGCTGCTGCTCAGTGCCCTGGCACAGGAAGATCTGGCCTCTGAGATCCTGGGGCTTCAGGAGGCCATCGTTGAGAAGGCTGACAAGGCCTGGGCTGAGGCTTCCAGCCTGCCCAAGGACAATGGCAAGCCACCCTTCTCACTGGAGAACCACAGCACCTGCCTAGACACTGTGGCCAAGACTTCATGGTCACATCCAGGGGAACCAGAAGCCCTACCTGAGCCCTTGCAGCTGGACAAGGGTGGTAGCACCAAGGACTTCAGCCCAGGGCTGTTTGAAGACCCTTCTGTGGCCTTCGCCACCACTGACTCGAAGAAGACAACCAGTCCCCTGTCCTTTGGCACCAAGCCTTTGCTTGGGACTGCCACTCCAGACCCCACCACAGCAGCATTTGACTGCTTTCCAGACACAACCACTGCCAGCTCGGTGGACAGTGCCAACCCCTTTGCCTGGCCAGAGGAGAACCTGGGTGATGCTTGTCCTCGCTGGGGCCTCCACCCTGGTGAGCTCACCAAGAGCTTGGAGCAGGGGGCAAAAGCCCCAGACAATGTGGGCAAAGCACACGAACCCTCTGCCTGCTTGGGCTTCCAGGAAGACCATGCTGTTGGGAAGCAGGCAGCTGCACTGTCCGGGGATTTCAAACAGCAGGAGGCAGATGGGGTGAAGGAGGAAGTGGGTGGGTTGCTGCAGTGCCCTGAGGTGGACAAAGCTGACCAGTGGTTGGAGGACAGCCGGCATTGCTGTTCCTCCACTGACTTTGGGGACCTGCCACTGTTGCCACCCCCTGGCAGGAAGGAGGACCTGGAGGCTGAAGAGGAGTACTCTTCCTTGTGTGAACTGTTGGGTAGCCCTGAGCAGAGGCCCAGCCTGCAGGACCCATTGTCCCCCAAGGCTCCACTGATTTGCACCAAGGAGGAAGCCGAGGAGGTGCTGGACACCAAGGCTGGCTGGGCCTCCCCATGTCACCTCTCTGGGGAGCCTGCTGTCCTGCTGGGCCCCTCTGTGGGTGCCGAATCCAAGGTCCAGAGCTGGTTTGAGTCTTCACTGTCACATATGAAGCCAGAAGATGGGCCAGAGATGGAGAGAGCCCAAGGTAGTTCCACCACGTCAGAAGGCTCCCTGGCCCCGAAGCCTAACAAGCCTGCTGTTCCTGAGGTGCCCATTGCTAAGAAAGAGCCTGTGCCACGGGGTAAAAGTTTACGGAGCCGGCGGGTACACCGAGGATTGCCTGAGGCTGAAGACTCTCCGTGCAGGGTGCCAGCACTTCCCAAAGACCTCTTGCTCCCAGAGTCCTGTACGGGACCTCCCCAGGGACAGGCAGAAGGGGCTGGAGCCCCAGGCCGGGGGCTATCGGAAGGGCTCCCTAGAATGTGTACTCGCTCTCTTACAGCTCTGAGTGAGCCCCAAACTCCTGGACCTCCAGGCCTGACCACTACCCCCACACCTCCTGATAAACTGGGAGGCAAACAGCGAGCCGCCTTCAAGTCTGGCAAGCGGGTAGGAAAGCCATCACCCAAGGCGGCATCCAGCCCCAGCAACCCTGCTGCCCTGCCTGTCGCCTCGGACAGTAGCCCCATGGGCTCCAAGACCAAGGAGCCAGACTCTCCCAGCGTCCCTGGCAAGGACCAGCGTTCCATGGTCCTCCGGTCTCGCACCAAACCCCAGCAGGTCTTCCATGCCAAACGGCGGCGGCCCTCAGAGAGCCGGATCCCAGACTGTCGTGCCACCAAGAAGCTCCCTGCCAACAACCACTTACCCACCGCATTCAAGGTCTCCAGTGGGCCACAGAAGGAAGGCCGGGTGAGCCAGCGGGTCAAAGTACCCAAGCCTGGTACAGGGAGCAAGCTTTCAGATCGGCCCCTCCACACGCTCAAAAGGAAGTCAGCTTTCATGGCTCCTGTCCCAACCAAAAAGCGAAGCCTCATCCTTCGAAGCAGCAGTGGAAATGGGGCAGATGGGAGGGAGGAGAGGCCTGAGAGCTCTCCTGGCCTCTTGAGGAGGATGGCCTCACCCCAGAGGGCCAGGCCCAGAGGCAGTGGGGAGCCACTCCCTCCCCCATCCCTGGAGACACCTGCTGCGTGCATGGGGTTGGCTACACCATCATCCCTGCCCAGTGCTGTGAGGACCAAGGTGCTGCCACCCCGAAAGGGCCGTGGCCTCAAGCTGGAGGCCATTGTGCAGAAGATCACCTCACCTGGTCTCAAGAAACTAGCATGCAGAGTGGCAGGGGCTCCTCCTGGGACACCTCGGAGCCCAGCCCTACCTGAGAAACGGTCAGGGGGCAGTCCAGCTGGGGCAGAAGAGGGCCTAGGAGCAACGGGCCCTGGGCAGACGCTACCAGCAGCTTCAGGAGCTGATGCGTTGTGCAGAAATCCAGTCAGCAGGTCCCTAAAAGGCAAACTCTTGAGTAGTAAGAAACTGTCCTCTACTGCTGACTGTCCCAAAGCTGAGGCCTTCATGTCCCCAGAGACCCTGCCATCCCTAGGGACTGCCCGGGCACCGAAGAAAAGGAGCAGGAAAAGCAGGACCGGTGCCTTGGGACCCTCTAAAGGCCCATTGGAGAAGCGGCCCTGTCCTGGCCAAACTCTGATCCTTGCTACCCATGACAGGGCCAGCAGCACTCAGGGTGGAGGTGAGGACAGCGCCAGTGGAGGAGGCAAGAAGCCAAAGACAGAGGAGCCGGGACTGGCCTCCCAGCCCCCTGAAGGCCGACCCTGCCAGCCCCAGACAAGGGCACAGAAGCAGCCAGGCCAAGCCAGCTACAGCAGCTATTCAAAGCGGAAGCGCCTCAACCGAGGCCGGGCTAAGACCACCCATGCATCACCCTGTAAGGGACGTGCCACCCGGAGACGGCAGCAGCAGGTACTGCCCCTGGATCCTGCAGAGCCTGAAATCCGACTCAAATACATTTCCTCCTGCAAGCGGCTGAGGGCGGACAGCCGCACCCCAGCCTTCTCGCCCTTCGTGCGGGTGGAGAAGCGAGATGCTTACACTACCATATGCACTGTTGTCAACTCCCCAGGGGATGAGCCCAAGCCTCACTGGAAACTGTCCTCTGCTGCCTCCTCCTCTGTCTCCTCCTCCTCCTCAGAACCAGCTGGGGCCTCTGCGACCGCTTTCCCTGGAGGCCCTGTGCTGCAGCCGAGGCCCTCCCTGCCCCTCTCCTCCACCATGCATCTGGGACCTGTGGTATCCAAGGCCCTAAGTACCTCTTGCCTTGTCTGCTGCCTCTGCCAAAACCCAGCCAACTTCAAGGACCTTGGGGACCTCTGTGGCCCCTACTACCCTGAACACTGCCTCCCAAAAAAGAAACCAAAACTTAAGGAGAAGGTGCGGCTGGAGGGCACCTTTGAGGAGGCCTCTCTGCCTCTTGAGAGAACATTCAAAGGCCTGGAATGTGCAGCCAGCACCACTGCTGCCACCGCCACCGCCACCGCCACAACCCTGGGGAGGCCGTCCAGGCCTGATGGCCCAGCTGACCCTGCCAAGCAGGGCACCCTGCGCACCAGTGCCCGGGGCCTGTCGCGGCGGCTGCAGAGTTGCTATTGCTGTGATGGTCAGGGGGACGGGGGTGAGGAGGCGGCCCCAGCTGACAAGAGCCGTAAACATGAGTGCAGCAAAGAGGCCTCTGCAGAACCTGGTGGGGACACCCAGGAGCACTGGGTCCACGAGGCCTGTGCTGTGTGGACCAGCGGGGTGTACCTGGTGGCCGGGAAGCTCTTTGGGCTGCAGGAGGCCATGAAGGTAGCTGTGGACATGGTAAGAAGCTAGGCGAGCTGGGGTAGGGAGGGATTTAAAGTTCTGACAGACTGACAGGTGTCACCAGGGCTTTGTTGAGGGTCACTTGTGCCCATAGCCAAAGAGTAGCCAGTCCCTTGAGGGAGTGTGGAGGCAAGTTGAAGTGTTCCTGGGGCTACAACAGGACACATTTATCCATCCTGCCCCAGGGTATGTGCCAACAGTTCTGTGTTCCACTGGGCCAGCCTTCCCACACACACTGCCCAAAACCAGAGCTACGGGGTCCTGGCAAGACAGGGCCCTCGCTGAGTTGAATGTCAAGATGGCCTGGTCTCCCTGAACTGGGACTTAGAGAATAGCTCCTAAACAGCGTGTGGCTAAAGCATGAGACACTGGCTCTGGGCAGCCCTGGGTCACCTGGCCACAGAAGCCCGGAAGCTCAACCCCACTGTTTAAATCATCCCTTCAGAAAACTTTGGACGGCGCAGGCACAGCCTCTACCCTTATTCCTTCCTCCCATGGGCAAGGCCACAGCACCTAGCATTGATCTTGAGGAATCTCTCTGGGATCACAGGTCTGGGATGGAGAGAGCATTCTGAGCTCTGGCTGCAACTAAGGTTCCTCAGACCAAAGGGGACTGGCAGAGGCTGCTCCAGAGGCCACATTCCTGAAGTTTTGGTCCCAGGGCATCAGAGCCACTTGTGCCTCTGCAGACCATGCCTTGGGCAGCGAGGCTCCCAGGTCTGCTCCTCTGCACTTACTTTACTGGGTATTCGTACCGGCTCTGTAGATTCCCTTCTCCTCCTCCTCACCTCAGTTCACTGTGGGCAGCTGAGAGAACCCTGAGTGTCCAGCGACTTCCCTCCTCTTCATACTTTACTCCCCAGCTCCTCAGAAGCACTCTGTCCAGGCCCCATCCTTGACCTTGGGGACCACTGTGGATGCTGCCCGTGACTCCAGGCTCCAGTCATCTCCTGCCCATGGTGATAGCTATAGACTTTCTGGGCCCCATTGTCTGCTCATCTTGCTGAGAAGGGCCTGAAATACAAGATAGTACCTCAGCCAGTTCATGCAGCAGGCAGGCACCAAACCCCCATCTTCCTCCCTGTCACTGGCTCCATGGTGACTAAATTTTCACAGCTACCTTGAAATAGTCTTGTCTCCCCCTTCATTAGAAAAGGGGGCTGGAGAGATAGCTCAGTGATTAAGAGCACTAGCTGTTCCCAGGTTCAAGTCCCAGCAGCCACGTGGCAGCTCACAGCTGCCTGTAGCTCCAGTTACACAGACATACATGCAGGCAAAACCCTAATGCACATAAAATAAAAGAAAAAACAATAAGCCTGGAACCCCTGTCCAGCGAGATACCTGACACCCTGCATTACCCAGGCTTATTTGAGGGGTAGGGCTGGGACTCAGTTATCTCATGTCTGCAGTCCCCAGTACTGGGCTCACATAAACAGGCTGAAACACTGGTGAGTGCAGGTAAGGGCCCCTGCTCCCTGGCCTAGTCCGGCCCTGAGCCTTGGGCCTCTTGCTGCCCATGCTGATGCACATACAATATCCTGTTGCGCTGAGGGGAGTGTGTGGGCCATGGAGTCACAGCTGGAGCAGGAGCGGCTCACTGCTGAGCCCTGTCAATGCTGCCATACCCCAGGATAACAGGGAAGGCCAGGAGAGGCTCTCATTGGACAAGGGTTGGCTGCATATTGAAGTCTCCTCCCTGCTAGAAGTAGGCCTGGCTGGCTCGTGACTAGTAGCTGGGGCCTGTTGCCATGATGTACCCTACATCACAGGCTCCTATGACACGCCCGCCACCCTCCCCCCACAGAATACACTGGAGAATAGGCTAGGGTTTTCCAGGTTTCCTGGAGAGTGATAGTTCAGCCTGTTGCTTTCTGCCTCTGTGGCTTGTTGGCACTGCTGTCTCCAGGAACCAAAAGACCCTGGTTCAAATCTGACTTCAGGAAGCCTTATGTCCCCTACATGCCCCAGAATGCAGCTCCCACCCATTGCACTGGCCAGCCTTTGGTCTTCCTGTCTCCACAGTTGCTGCTGTGTCTGATCCTGCTGTGCCCACCTTCCAGGTCTTCAGCCACCCAGGCTGCCCACATCCTCAATCTGCCATCATGCACGCTGCTTCCTGACTAGCTAGATGGGGGATTGCATTTCAGGGACCTGGGGCTGATCATACCCTAGGAGACTGGCGGCCTCTGGGTGTGGGTGACACGGTTGATGAGTTATGCCCCCGGCAAGGGAACTGGGGACAAGAACAAGTCTTCATCTTTCAGGGCCTTAGTCTCTTCATGTTTGTAATGAGCAGTCTTGCTTCAGGAGTTGCTTGGGACTATCTTGCCACAAGGGGACCATAGTTACCCTCAACCACACAGTACTCCTAATGGCCACTGTGAGTGAGTTTGGTCTGTGTTGGGGTTTCCACTGTGCTTCCTCTTCCCCTAGTGACTTAAAAAGTGGGCCTAGAGCTCTAGGTCCTTGGGAGGCTCATCCGGAAGCTCTGCGTGGATGCCGTCCTCTTGCTCGCCCACCCCCACTGGCTGCTCCAGCTACAGAGTGCTTGGACAGAACCCACCCTACCGGGGCAGCCTGAACCTGCTTGAGCCGTGGCTCTGGGTCTACCTGGACCTCTGAGTTTATGGGCTGTCCCTGCTCTTGTTCTCTTTGACCTAGGGAAGACAGTGCTATGCTAGGACTTGGAGCAATGCCTGGCACCAAATGCACTGTTACTTAACTAAAGTGCTCTGAGCCTTCAGTGTCCTCCGCCTCCCTCCTGCCTCACTGCCCCACGGTAACGACAGGCTTGAGAGCAGGGGTGGCCTGGGACCATCTATGTCCCTCCCAATGCCAAGGTTTGGCGTCACTCCTCCTTTAGCCTTCTCATCATTGTCCTCTCCTACCATGTCACAGTCTCTGAGCCCAGCAAAAGTCATTATGGAGAAGGACTGGGCATGTTCTAGGGAACATCAGATTCACATGAGACCAGCCTCTTGGGGGTGATGTCAGCTCTTTCCCCCTCCCCCAGCTCATTTCTGTGCATCTGCTGTTGCCATTGGGTAGAGAGCGTGCTTCTCCCTCGCATGGAAAGGGCCTGTCTCACCATCTGGAAAGTGGAGGGCAGTGAAAGCCACTCCCCTCGCTGCTGCTAGAAGGAGCCAGTGGATGAGGACACCAGAGCCAGCATGTAAGCAGCACCTGACAGATGGTGGCTGCCAGCCATGGCCACTGTGGTGACTAGCAGCACTAGCCCAAGAGGGTCCCCACCCAGTGTGCCAGCCCAGGAGGTGGCAGAGGGCCAACCCTCGAGGGCATTTCACTCCCTGCTGCATCGCAGTGACATTCTGGCAGAAGTGCTGTTGGGCCTGTCTGGACACACAAGGACTCACTTGCCTTCCTCTCTCTTCAGCCGTGTTCCAGCTGTCATGAAGCCGGGGCAACCATCTCGTGTTCCTATAAAGGATGCATCCACACCTACCACTACCCTTGTGCCAATGACACAGGTAAGAGCTGGCCTGGGTGCGACTGCTCTAACTCAGACCCCTCATGATGACTCCCAGGGCCTTCACCTGCCCCAACAACTCTTTATCTTAAGATGCTCTCTTTGCCTCCACCTGCCTTTGCAGTTCCAGGGATGTAGAAATGAGTTGATCCCTCCCTATCTGATCGAGGATTTCCCAGAGAGGCAGACGAATAAGTGATAGAACAGAGATCTGAGCAAGGAGTTCAGAAAGAGTGTGGGCGTGGGCTCATTCCTACTCATGTGGGTCACAGGACCAACAAGGCCAGCCCTAACCCGTCAAGTGGGTAACTTGAAGCACTTGCCTATAAAGAAAGCGTTTAGTTACTGGGAATGGCAAGCAGCACACGCTTGTCCAGATCCAGCCCAGGTGATACTTCCTGTGACCATCACAGCCTCCTAGGCCCCATCTGCAGAGCTGGACCATGAGCAGCTCTTCATTGGAGCAGCAGCAGGACTCTCCAGAAAGTACAGCCTCATGAGTCAGATGCTGTCATCCCCCATTCCTCAGCTCTGGCCTGGTCATTTGTCCTAGTCTGAGCAGTAGAACACCATCAGTGCTGTCTGCCCAATGGGTCCTGGGCCAGCATTAGCCCATGCCGAGCCACCCTGGGAGCTACACAGGGTCTCAGACGGTGACAGTCTTCTGGGGGTGCTGAGCTGCTAACACTTGACAGAAAAGGATGTTAGTGGACGCAGGATTGGGGTCCTCACTGACTCTGCCTCTATCACAGTGTGACCCGTATTAGGATGTGGACTCAACCTAAGTGTCAGGTCTTACTCCCTACCCAACCTGTCTCAGCCAACCCATCAGGTGGCAGTTCACTTCCTGCCCAGTCCTAGCTGCATCTGTGCTGTGTGCTGTCTCACCCACAGCCATACAGAGGCTGGGGCTTTCTGACTTTCTCTGCCCTCCAGGCTTATCCAGCCTCCCCAGGGGCTCAGCCTGAGGGGGCAGACAGGACAGCCATGGTCCTGCAATAGTCATAGACTAGGTGTCTTAGTGACTTTTCTGTCGCTATGATAAAATGCCCTGACAAAAGCAGCTTCAGGAAGTAAAGATTTGTTTTGGCTCAGTCACAGGTCACAAGCCACTACAGTAGGGAAGTCATAGTAACAGGCACACTACATGGATCAGGAAGCAGAGAGCAGACCTGGGTGTGGTGGTGTCGCCTTTAATCCCACCCATTGGGAGGCAGAGGCAGGTGGCTCTCCTGTGAGCTCATGGACAGCCTGGTCTACAGAGTGAGTTCCAGGACAGCCAGGGCTACACAGAGAAACTTTGTCTCGAAAAGGGAAAGTAAAAGAATCAGAAAGGAGCTAGGCATGGTGGCACATTTTATCCTAGCACTTGGGAGACAGAGGCAGGCAAATGTTGAGTTGGAAGCTAACCTGAATTACATAGCAAGTTCCAAGTCAACCAGGGATATAGTGTAAGACTTGTAAGACTCTGTCTCAGACGGCAGGGCAGTTAAAAATTCTTTTGCATGCCTGGTGATGGTGGTGTACGCCTTTAATCCCAGCACTTAGGAGGCAGAGGCAGGCAGATCTCTGTGAGTTCCAGACCAGCCTGGTCTACAGAGCAAGTTCCTGGACAGCCTCCAAAGCCACAGAGAAACCCTGTCTTGAAAAGCCAAAAACAAACAAATAAAAAAGAGTTCTTTTGCAGAGGTCCCAAGTTCGTTCCCAGCACCCACATACTGGTGGCCTACAACTACTTTTAAGTCCATCTCCCATGGATCTGATGCCCTCTTCTGGCTTCTGCTGGTACTGCAATGCACATAGATGGCCACTCATACATATATACACATTGAAAAAATAAAACTTAAGCCTGGCATGATGGCACATGCCTTTCATCCTAACAGTTGGAATACAAAGGCAAACATGTTCAAGGCTAGCCCGGTCTATAGTATGAGTTCCAGGCCAGCCAAGGCTATATAGTGAGACCCACCCTCCCAAAGTAATAATGTTCTTAAAAACAGCAACAGAGAATGGCAGGCCTATGTTCTCATGTAGTTAATCTAATCAAGATAGCTAACTCCCTTATGAGGGCGGGGAGGTGGCTCAGCAGCATCCCTGCTCTTCAGGAGCACCTGGGCTTGACTTTCAGCACTCACATGGTGTCTTGATAATCACCTGAAACTCCAGTTTCAGGGCATTTGATACCCCTTTTGGCCTCCACTGGGACTGGCACACATGGTGCATAGAGCTATTTTGCAGTCAAAGTACCCATAAGAGAGAGTGGGTATGTCAAGCCTGGTTTCCTCATTTTAAGATGTTGATTTGAGCCAGGCAATGTGGTGCACGCCTTTAATCCCAGCACCCGGTGGGGCAGAGGCCAGCTTGGTCTACAGAGAGAGTTCCCTGACAGTCTACACAGAGAAACCCTGTCTTGGAAAAACAAAAACAAAAAAGACGTTGGTCTGGGCAGGGCGGGTGTGAGAAAATAAGGTATTCAGTAGTAGGGCCAAGTTCTTTGTGCTTGCACACCCAGCTTTTACCAGGCTCTGCAGGGGTGGGCTCTAGGTCTGTGCTGTCTGCTTCAGACGTTGACCTAGCACACCCTTATGACAGCAGGAGGCCCTACAAGAACAGGTAACAAGGATTTTGTAATCTGTGCTCTGTTGGCCAAAGGCAGAGCCCTGTAGCAAGGAGTGGGGCACAATAGGAGGGAGCCCCCTGCCACAGCCAGCAGCTGCCTTGTGGTCAGGTTGCACTGGAGCTGTCCCCATTGGATTCATGTCCTCAGCACTGAGGGTGGAGGGCACCTCTGAGCCCCTGTTAGGGAGGTAGGGCCCTGGAAAGCAGCAGTCAGGGCAAATGAAGAGGCCAGAGTGGCTAGCTGGTGAGGCTAGGGAGTGCAGGAACAGACGACCGCATGGGGCCAGCCACTCCTAGGTGTCCTCAGGCTCCTGGATTGCTAGAAGCAAGGTGACCACTCGCTCTCCCCTTCTGCCCCCCACTTGTAAGCGCACATTGGTTACAGCATAGGTTCCAACCTGAACATCTGTATTCAGTCCCAAAGCTGCCTACCCCGCCCCACCCACTCTTCTCCCAGTCCCTGCTCTCACTGTTGGGCGGTTGTTGACTGAGCTGACTGGGAAGTAGCAACCACCCCTGGTTATGTTGTATCGGAACCGAGGTCCAGCCCAGCCCCAGAGCCCAATGTGTATGCCTGAGTGCACCTGCCACAACTGGCCCCAGAGGACAGCCTTTTGTGCCTGCAGTTTCTCAGGTGGGACCCATTGCCCTCCTCTCTGGGTGGAGAAGAGGCAGGAAGCACAGGCAGGCAAGTGTAGGAAGTATATGACCGGGAAAGTGAACCTCCGGCCGGTGGCAGACAAGGGAGGGAAGAGGGCCCACGAGGGCATCCGGGTGGATGGCAGCTAGCAGGGAGTCTGAACCACACGCTGCCCAGGTGTGCATGAAGACGGACTGCTTAGCCGTCCTCACAGGACATCTGGGACCTTGTCACCTACTGCAGCTGGTAAGAATAAGCCCTTCCATCCAGAACACTTCTCTTGCATTTCTGGTTGTGAGCCTAGCCTTTAACTGCTGAGCCATCTCTCCAGCCCCCAGAACACTTCTCTGAACACGAGGAAGGGGAGCTATGACAGCACCCAGTAGGTGACAGTGACTATTCTACAAAATGGATGCTGAGCCTTGGTAGCTGACATTCCAGTCAGTCTGAGACTGCACCTCTCGGTTGTCAGTCACTGGGCAGTCACCGGCGCTTTCTGAGCAAGGGCCTCTCCTGACAGTTGTGCAGGAGGTTGGGACAGGAGTGGCCATGCACAGTAAGGCATGGGGGAGTGGGCACGTGAGGGAGAGAGAGAGAGTTCCTTCCACTCTAGGGAGAGACTGTGTGCTAAGACCTGGAGAGGGCCGTGTAGCAGTGGGACGGGGAGTCTCGGGTGCAGGGCCAGGAGCATCAGGGTAGAGGCAGAGGGCCTGCCTCCCTCCCTCGGGTGCAGTTTGGACTAGTGAGGGTTTTAAGCAGGACCTGGGTGCTCAGAACCAACCCTGGCCACCAGCCTACCCCTGCATCGCCACAGAAAGTTCTCTTTGTTCACAGGTTGTACATTCATTGAGGAGAATTTTACTTTGAAGTGCCCCAAACATAAGGTAGGTGAACAGACTCCCCTGAGAAAGCCCTCTCTGCTCAACTCAGCTTCTCCCTGCCTTGCCAAAGGGTACAGAGGGGGCATGGCCAGGGCCCTAAGGTACTTCCCACGCCCCCGGAGTAGTCTACAGGGTCTCATGTGGAAGGGCTGGGGTCAGCAGTGGTTGGCTCTAACACACTGTCCCTCCACAGAGGCTGCCATTGTAATCCCCACGTGGCCGATCCTCCAAGGAAGAGGAGCTGCGCCCACAGCCGTCCTTGATCCCATCCCAGGTCTTGGTTCCGGCTGCTTCGGGTGCTGGCGTGAGGCCCCGGTTGTGAAGAAACCCTGATCCAGGCCAGACTTGGCGAGGGCAGGCCACCGGGCGGCCAGACCCAGGGCGCGCAGCTTCGGGTGGGGTGCAAGTCCCCTGCAAGTTCTGAAAGGACGTGGCATGCAAGCTGTGCCCCAGGAAGTGGCCGAGGGCGCTGTCGGCTCGGTGGACGACATGGGGCAGGACCCAAGCTTTTCTGTAGAGGCTCAGTCTTGGGGGAATGCAGCCCAGCACCACCGCCCTCTGCCCCAGGCTTTGCCCGGGGTCCTGGAAGGCCTGGGCTCAGGCCATGTGGTCCCTGATGTGGGCTGGCCTGGGGTGGTGCCCTTATGGCTTCTGTTTGTCCCCTTTCCAGTCTTCCACCCCACTTGTTGGAGCCCGGTCTGGAAGCTTGAGGAAACTGGCCCTGGCTACCCCCTAGGCAGATGTGCTGCTGTCCCAAAACACCACCTTGGGTTCCAGGGACTGCTACTCGATTGGCTCGTGGGTGGGGACAGTGCTAGATTTCGTGTACAAACCTGTGTACCCCTCTATATATATGTTACATAGAATGTATATATGTTGGGAACATGCTCGCTTCCGTGTGTCGCTGCTGTGCGTCGTGTGCTTCACAGCACAGAGCCCTAACCTGGCCTTGGGCGGGGTAGGGGCTACAGTGATGTCCCTTCCCTGTGCAACCATCATCACCACCGCCACGGCCAGTACCCACCTGTCCGTTTGTGTTCTCAGCTCTGTCCACGCTTCAATAGGCCTGATGCAGACCCCCTTTCCCTGCAACTTCCTGTACATATGACTGTAAAATGGTAAACGTGTGTATTATATCTGGCCTCGTTATATAGTGTATATATATGTATACATATACATATATATAATATATATGAAGACTGTAAATGTTAAGACAACTAGTGTTCTTATTAGTATATTGCTTCACACTGAAGATTGTGTGTATCGAGCTGTTTCTAAAAGATGTTTATTTTCCTTAAGAGTTAAAAAAAAAAAAACAGTCATTGCATTCAGAAAAAAGTCAATAAAGATACCACGATTGTTTTGGAAGTTTGCGGCCTGTGGATGCCGACCAGATTCCCTAGGGTTTGGGAATGGAGGGAAGGGTCTGGGGACATGAACAGGGGTCCCAGATTGTGCTCAGTTAGTAGACCTATGTGGTCTCAGGTGTACAGAGAGATGACCAGAACGATGTTCCAGACACAGGGGACTATGTAGTCCTGTCGCAACGGGCCTTTGAGGCTGCTGAGTCTGCCCTCAGCGCCCTGGGACCTGGTGAGGAGCTGGGGACAAAGAGACAACTGAGACCATCAAGGTCCCTCAAGATAATGCAGCGAAAGTGCGGTCATGAGAACGTGGGACAGGTTGGTGACACATCATACTACCCCAAGGCAGGTGCCACAAACACACCCTTACAGCCGACGGGAAGTCCTGCTTCCCAGGCAGTCCAGAAAGGACGGCAGTCATGAGGCTGACATGTGCCTTCCCAGACAAACAAAACTGAAGTTATAAATAATTTCACTTTTTAATTTTCTGTACAAAATTTCTCAACCTATGAAAATAAAGTTTGCAAAAGTCAAAGTAGTACATGAGCCTGCACAGGAAGCTGGCTCAGCTGAGTCTACACTATGTACAAGTCTCCCAGGAGGGGGTGAGAACCTCAGGACAGGGTGGCCCTCAGCTAAGGGAAAGGTTCCTTTCCATAGGACAGGAAAAAGCCACTAAGGTGCCTACAGAGCAAGAGCGTGGCATTGGGCCAGTACAGCCTCTGCAATTTCTAGATCTGCCACTAGAGGTCGGCATGATCCTGATTGCTTGTCAGGCTCACCCTCTCTGGATCACAGCCAGTGACAAAGGTCCCTAAGGGCCTCTAGCACTGGGGAAACCATCCAAGGTTTAGCTGGAAGTGACAGTGGTCCCGCCGCCCAGGCGCAGAAGCATCTGCTGGCAGTCAAGCAGTAGCCGGTGGTCACCAAGCTTCTCTACAGTGCGTGCTGCCTCAGCCAACATGCTCATTTGCTGTCCAGGGGCCGACAGGAAGGCAGGTGGCAGATAGCAGGAGGCCAGCAGCAAGGCCTCTGTGTGCTCCCGCCATGTGGGTCGAGGCTCCAGCTCAGCTCCGGTGCCTGCACATACATGTATCATGTCAGGAAAGCAAGGCTTAGGTCTGGCTACGGCCACACCCCACGCATAGGACAAGGTATCTTGACTTCTTGTACAGGGAACTCCTAAGCACTTTGGATGCCAGGGTCCTGCTCTCCACATATGCTGGGCACACAGGTGGGCTCAACCTCCTTCCTATGACTACCTCACAAACTGTCACCCCAGCTGATTTCTGTAATTCAGCTCTCAGTATTCATCATCCCAGGCCAAGCCAGCCTCCCCGCTCCCCCACACACAAACACACTGTAAACACAGCCACCTCCTTTGCCACTGGAGCCCGCCCGCCTCCGCAGACTGCGGTCCAAGAGCTGGTGTGTCCGGGCAGGACTTGCCCCTGCCATCAGCCGAGCTGTGGCCTCGTGTAGGAACACCTGCGGAGTGAGGAGTAATGGCCAGGTTCAGATTCGGTGCCTACTCTCTCCCCTGGCTTCCTGCCTCATGCCTCCCAGTGTGAGATAACAACAGTAGGACTTACTCTCCTCATAGCAGGCCGGAAGTTCTGTGCCAAGCGCCTCAGGCTGCTCAGGTCCTGTTGGAAACCGCGCAGCTCCAGAGCGGAGGCCTGGGATCCACTGGCACTGTGAGCTACCTGGGCTGAGGCTGGTGATTGCTGGCGCTGCCACACACTAGTGCGGGCCACAAGCAGTAGATCACACAGGAGCAGCTGCATGGCCTGGGGTGGCAGAGGGCACGGGAGGCTGGAGCATTGGTAAGGGCAGAGCCCCCAGCACCAGGGGCTGACCCTGGGCTGCACTGAGACCCTGCACTGCCTCACATATGCAATGCAGCAGCAATTCCCTGTGGTCCACCTTCTCTGGGCCACATGCCCACGAGCCCGACAATGGCCCCTACAGGAGCCCCTCCGGTCAGCTCACCATAGCCTCCTTCCTGGTGGTGGAAAAGGGGGAGACCATTCTCCCCAGACTCCAGCCTTCATCAGACACTAAGGTAAGGCCATTCACTGTTTTGTATTAACTCCAAAAGACTAGGAATGGACAGCTGTGACCCTGGCCTAGCCAGGTACCCATCCTACCCCCTCACCTTGTCAATGGAGCTGCCAGTTGGTGTAGTGGCTAGGCTGTCCCGCAAGTACCCACTGGCCTTCTCACAGACGGCCAGGCTGGCTGGGCCGGATTCCACCTTTCTGTGGTCCAGCAAAGCCCGGGCAGCCTTGAAGGAGTACAGAGCGGCCTTGGGCAGGGGTCTCCTATTGGGGTTAGAGCAGATACGGTACGTTAGAACAGGACACAGCCCTTCCCTGAGCCCTCCTACCCTGGTTCTAGTCTCCCGGGGCAGAGTACACTGTCCTTCCCATAGAGATATTTAAGCAAAGTGCCGAGGGGCCCAAAGCCGGGTGAGGAGGACCTGACGGGACACTCACTCAGTCTCCTGCAGCACTTGGGGCATATGCTCCACCAGTGGGTACAGGCGCTCAGCCGCCTCCTCATCCCGCCGCAGCCAGTGGACCACCACAGCCGTCAGGGAGGCCCACCATTTGGCCACGGGGTCTGTGCCTACAGAAGAGAGAAAGGCGCCTGACCCTCAGCCACACTGCACTTGGGCCTGGCAGGAGTCAGGACAGCAGTCTGGAACTCACCGGTGGCGGAAGCCATGCTGGAGCTGACAGAAAAGCTGCAGGCAGGAGTTCCAACAGCATCAGAGCAGCGATTCAGCAACTGGAGGTATCCAAGTGCATCTGAGAACTCCCTGAGGCAGGAAAGAGATGTCAGGACAGCCAGCAACAGTCTCAGGATTCTGGATGACACTGGCTCTCCCCAGCTGCCCATCAGAGCATAGTCTGACCCAATGGCTCACAAAATCCCACCTGACAGAGGAAAGCAAGAGCTAGAGAGGCTCTGAGGACACACACAGTCTGGCTACCAAACGTCTTGGACAAGGCTTTCCCAGACTTCCTGTTGGAGGGTCCTGCCCGGAAGTGGCACAGAAAACCCACCTGTCTCCATCAGCTGTCCCTGGGCTGGGTTGAGCGATACAGTTCAGTGCTCTCTCCAAGAGATGTTCGCAGAATAGTCGGGTCACCTGTGCCAGAGGGTCCACTGTGGGCAGGGGTGAATGGAGTGGAGGTTAGACGCCCTTCCCACACCAATGCCTTCACAGGCTGGGGCCCCAACCCACAGCCACTTCCTAGTTGCAAGTCCTAACAGACATAGACATTGATGGGGAAGTACTTAGGCCCTGCTCTCTGAAGCTTGGGCTACTCAGCCTCTGCCCTGGGGAGGAACGTGGTGAGCTGTGCAAGGATCCCACACTGGAAAGGAGAGTCTACCCAGTCACACACCCACTGGCCCTGACTCTTCTCGGGGCTCTTCCTGAAGACCACAGTGGTGTGGTCTGGAGTCACCTCTCAAGTCCACCCACGGCCCAGTGACCCATGCTACTTCCTGCTTCTAAAGCCCAGTAAGCCTCCCACAGCCCCAGCCACTGTGCGAAGTAAGCTGGGCAGGTGAGGGTGTTCAGAGATGAGGGACAGGGACGAGGCATAAGAATGGAATGAGAGAGCACCTGGGTTCCCAGCCACGCTGTACAGGCTCTCCTGTGGGGCACCATGCACAGCCCAGTCCCCATCCACGAAGAAACGGTGGCCTACAGGGTGGCAGAGCCACTGCATGGCAAGCGGCACTGAGCCACTCTGTGCCAGGCAGGCCTGGCGGGCACTACTCAGGAAGAAACGCTGTGGGGAAAGGAACAGGACTGTGTCACTGGCTCCAAGCTCAAACCCAGCCGTGAGTTGGAGACCCCAGCTGGGCTCATAGCCTACCTTCTAAACACTGCTACATTTGGTCCAGCCCCTTGCACTGGAAGGGACAGGTGAGAGTTGCAAAGTCCCCAGCCCTGTCCCCCCTCGGCCTACTTACTGTCAAAAAGTGCAAGGCTCTTGGGAGACTGGTCTTGACCCTCAGGGCAGCAGCCACATAGATCTCTGCCAGTGTTGCCATGGATACAGCATCTCCTGCACACTCTGCCAGGTTCAGAGCACTCAGTGCCAGGTTAGAAGCAACGAGGTGCCCTCCTGTGTATTTGCCTGCAAACAGGCAAGCATGAGGACGAGAGGTGACGGGATGGGTAGGACCCAGCCATACCCATGGCGTAAGGACAGGAGGTGACGGGATGGGTAGGACCCAGCCATACCCATGGCGTAAGGACAGGAGGTGACGGGATGGGTAGGACCATACCCATGGCGTGCAGCTGGTGCAGCTTATGGTAGACAAGGGCCGCATCTCGAGCACTGGCACGCGCATCCACTCTCAGCCCACAGTCTCTCCGCAGGCCCCCAGCCCGGCCTGCCAGCCAGCGGCCAACCCAGAGACGCTGCAGCAGATGGCGGATGAGGTTCCAAAGCAGACTGCAGGCCAGGTCCAGGTTCGAGGTGGGCAGGGGCCGTCCCAATGCCTGCAGGGCCAGCCACAGCTGCTGAGCAGCCTGGGCAAAATCTCCCTGGACAAAGGGTTGTCTTAGTGAGAAACACAGCAGCAGGCATCTCCCTTATGTGGGCCCCTGGAGTCAAAGGATCTCTGAAGGCAGGGGTGGGGCAGACTGGAGTATGGACAAAATAAGGGAGAATGTGGGGCACCCAGCACCTTCCAGGCCTGGGGACCTACCCTTCTCCTCCTCCCCAGGGCCAATCCCTTACCCGGGCCAAATCCAGGTCAGCTTGTTTGCGATGTCTCCAGAAGTGTACAGCTGGGCCAGAGTGTGGCCGGGTCACAGGTTCCCCATAGACAAAGAGAAGAGCCAGACAGGCCAACACTAGTAGTCCATTGGCCAGCCAGACTAGGGGTGGCAACAACCACTGGGTCCAATTAGAGCCATCTATAGACAAAGAGAATGTCTGAGGACCTGGCTCCTAGGAAATCCAAAGTCCCAAA